GCTGACTGGGGCAACCTCTTCGAGAATGGAGACGTGTGGGGATCACTTCCCAATTGTTTTTTGATACCAGGCTTTCACTTTGGCTGCTAGACTTGGACTTTCAGGATTGTTGGGCTGGACTATCTGAGCTGTTGCTGGCTTGGGGAGGAATTTCCTCCTTTAAACCTTGCTTTGTGTCAGCCAAGTCCATCCTGTTCTTAGATGGTTTCCATTTTCAAAGGAGCCTCTGATGGCTTCCGGGGCATTTTGAATGCCAAGTCGCTGCCCTGGCAGCAAGGTGAAAGCAGGATGCCTCAGAGGTCTTGTGCTGGACACGGTGTGCTGGCCTAAGATAGCATCTGACAAAGCACGCTGTTGCTTAGAAAGCTCATGCCTCTGAATTATGAGTCTAGTTTATAAGGAGCAGCTCTGCCCTGGCCTAAGGGTAAGTCAGTCCTGTTGCTGTCTGCTTCCCTACACCCAAAGCCAGGCCCTCCCATCTTTCCTAAGCCGTAGGCCACCTTTCCCACCAAACAGAGAGAGCAAGCAGGGTCTGCAAGGATCCCCCAACCTCCACGCCTGCATGGCTTTCGATCAAATGCTGAAGGTTTCTGGTCTGCTGTTCGAGGCCTGCCTTGTTCTCCCCTGTCTCTTCTCCCAGCCAGTTTGCTGCCCCTCATCTCAGAGCTGAAGCCATCTCTGCAGCCACAGGGAAGAGATGCAGCGGATGGACCCCAGGCGTCAGCTTCTCAGCAGCCTGAGGATAAGCGCGTAGGGAGGAGGGACAGGAGCAGCAGAAGACGAGAGGAAAGAGGCAGCACGAAAGTGGAGCCAAAGCCGTGGCGGAGAGGTGAGGGCGAGAACGCGCTTGGGACAAAGGTGAGGGCTGGTGTCGTTTAGGGTTTTCTGTCGCCTGTTCCCTGAGGCTTTCTGCTCTCAGCTTTCCCTAATCAGTGGCCCTTTCTCCCTCCTTCCACAGGACTTCTAAGGTAGGACAGTGGTGCCAGGGTCCATTCCACCCGGAGGCAAGGGAATGGAGAGTATCTGTGGCGAGAAAACGTGGGAGTCCTTGTTTGCAGTCTGCAAATAGAGCCCTCTGTGGGGAAACCCTTTCCATCTCCCACGTGGCTTTGGTGCTTTCTCTGCCCTTCCTCAAATAGGATTAAACCCAGCTTCATTTGCTTCTCAGCCCCGAAGGACGGGCTCCCAGCCCTGAGGAAGTGGGGTCACAGCTGAAGCATGGCATCGCTTCTCTGGGAGGTTTGGTGCCCGGCTGGGTGCCGAGCGGGACCTTTTGGCTTCATGCGGAGCTAATGCAGGGCGGAAAAGCTGTCATTCGAATGGCCAGCTGTTCAGTTGGCTTTCTACAGTAATTAGACACTGGCTGCATGGCAGAAGGGTGCTATGAAGACTGAGTTATTTAATTTTTCAGACCCTGGTGACTGGGCCCTGCCTGTCTTCAGAATGCAAAGGTGTCTCCTTACTGGCGCCCCTGCCTCTGCCGGCCTGCGACAGATGGACATCAGGCTGCTTAATGCTTTAGCAGGTGGCACTCGGACCTGGCCACGAGCTGGGGCAGGCTAAGAAACGATACGGCTGAATTCATCTGCCTTTGGCTAATACCTCGGCCTGGGGAAGGCCTGGGATGTACAGGGCAGGTGACCGTGAGTGTCTGGTCTCACGTTACCATGCAGAGCTCTGAGCTAATGATAGTAAAAAACTAAGAGATTTGATTTGGGTGTCCAGGGGGAAGTGCTCCGGCTGAGGTTCGAGCAAGGGAAGACTGAGGGGGGATTGAATAGCAGCCTTCAACTCCTCGAAGGGGGCTTGCAAAGGGGATGGAGCTGGGCTGTTCTCAGTGGGGGCAGATGACAGGACAAGGAGCAATGGGCTCAGGCTTCAGCAAGAGAAGTTGAGGCTGGATATTAGGAAAAACTCTCTCACTAGGAGGGTAGTAAAGCACTAAACAGGTTACCCAGAGAGGTGGTGCAGTCTCCATCCTTGGAGGCTTTGAAGATCCAGCTAGACAAAGCCTTGGCTGGGATGGTGTAGTTGGGGCTGGTCCTGCTTGAAGCAGGGGGTTGGACTAGATGTGACCTCCTGACATCCCTTCAACCCTCCTTGTCTATGATTTTTTGTGATTTTTCAGAGCGCTGTTTCCCGCAGTGTGTTTCTCTTAAGGCACAAATGCAGTCCATATTCTTTTTCTTCCTGCAAGGTTTTCCCCCAGTGAGATCCCCTCGGACCTAGCTCCCCAAGGGAGGAAAGGTTCAGTCACCTTTCCCTCAGTGACTCCCCTTTATTGAGTGGGAAGAAGGTGCACAAGTATCTTTGAGGAAATGGGCCTAGGGGATTTAGGCACTCTTGAAAAGTGTTTATCCTCCTGATCAAACCCTTTGCTGTTGTAGGTTGGTGTCATGCCAGCGATGTCACTGGAGCTGGGCCAGGTAATAGCAGCTGGTCACAAAACCGGACTGCTGCTGATCTGCTGGTATGGGCTGAGCTATGGGGGAAGCCCCAAACTAGCTGGGGACCAAACTGTGCCGGTCTATAGTGCACAGAGGGAGCGGGGCACGGCTGGCAGTCTGGTGGGAAATCAGACTGTCTCCTCTGTTCCCTGGGGTTGTCACCGTGGAAGTATTTTATACAAAGCAGAGCAGCTTCTGCAAAGAGGCTGAGGGGGCCTGATCCTGGATTCCCCACCCCCAGGAGAGACGCAGGGCTCAGGAGCGTCGGGAACCTTGACGGTGAACCTGGTGCAATGCGGCCTGTGCCCCAGATGGGCTCTGCTCAGCCAGCGGCCTGCGGTTCCCCGCTGCCTGGGGGTTTCTGCGGATGGCCAGTCGCGGGCTCCATCCGGATTAAGCGCTAGCGTGCTGGCCTGGCTTTTCAGAGGCAGATCGTTGCTCGTGAAAGCCAGCAGCGACTTGGTCATGCAGCAGAGCTAAGCCAAGCAGCGGTGTGCAGTGAGCATTCAGGAGATGGGGAGGGGTGGAGGAGGGGCTGCCAAAGGAGAGCAACACGGCGCATCGGAGCTGCCCCCAAAACTCAGCCGGAGCAGAGGGGCTTCTGGCCCTGGCATGGGAAGTCCTGTGCTCACCGGTCTCCTACGCCTAGGTTTTGTGTTTTTAACCACGTGTATAGCAATGCCTCAGCTTTGCAGGTGCCCTCACGGTTGCTGAGTCCCGCATGTGAACGTGCTAAACGGTGTCTGTGCTCCCATGGCTTTTAGACCCTGCGCGTTAGCACACCAAGAGCAAACTGGAGACTAGGATGGGAGGCACCAGCTCACATGCAAGCCAGAGGAGCCACTTCTGCTCCCAAAGCTCTTTACCTTTAGCATCCCAAGTAGAGCTGATCATCAGAAACGAGTGACACCTGCAAAGGAGGCCCAGGACCTAAATATCCTCCCCGGGGACCCGTTTTTGCTTCTGCTTCGAAGGGGGTAGATGTGGAGTGAAAGGAGTAGGAGCAGAGGCCTCAGCGGGATGAATATATTCAAGTGGCAGTGGTTGCAAGGGACTGACTTGCTGCACTCAGTCGCAAACCCCCAGACACTGCCTCACTGTTCGAGCAGGGCAGAGCCAGGAGCTGAGAGCTGTTGCTGAGTGTGTTGTGACTCCAGGCAGAGTCCTTGAAGACCCCTTGCAGGTGAAAGGTTTCATTGAAACCGAATGCTAGTTGCTCAGGTCCAAGGCCAGCCCAGTCCCGGAGGCAGCTCAGCATGGGGGAGAGGGAAAACTCTTTAACAATAATACAGACTTAAACTAGTCCAAGCTGAACTGTGATCCTATGCGCATGAACCCGACTGGTTTATTTCCCAGTGCTTGCAAAGTAGAGATGCAAATACTGAAGCGCACTTCCACACTCTGCATGTATTATTTGCGTATTAAACAGCAGCTGAAAGCAGGCAGTGCCTAAAAGGAGGAGACCATTAACTCGCTATCCATTAGCTCACACTTCCCCACTGAACTTTTCCTACAGTACAAAAGCAGTGTGCCCTTGGGCTTGAAATGCTGGTGAAAATCATAGCCTTGGGATGGGGTGGGGGGTTGTTCTTTAGAAGCCCGGTGCCTTCATTTAGAAGAGAGTTTTTATTTCTCCTTATGCGCCTTAGCTTCGGTTTTCTTTTGCTGGAAGGAGCCAAAAATACTAGAAAAATCGCTGTGCTTCATCGCTTTGGTGCTCAGCGGGAAGGCGTGGACCCAAAAGCAACGCTTCCATTTACACGGGTGCTACTCTTTGCTCCTGTGCCCGGCCACGTGAGTGAGAGGCAAAGCCCCTGCTGGTGTCAGGTTTAGGCTGTGGCGCGTTTTGCCCTGGAGTATATCTTGCTTATGGTATGGTGCAGAGGAAGGGTAAGGAAAAGCAAGAGTTGTTAGATCAAAAGAAAGGGCAAAAAAATGGCTTCGTTTTTCCATCTGCAGCATCTGAAATGACTCGCGGTGTCTCGGGCATCTTGGTTTCTTATGGGCAGAGAGAACTTGTCACACTGATTTCCTTTGCCTTTTGCAGTTTTGAATGCTCCTCTGTCGTCTTTGGATGCTTTGAAGAGGTTGTTTTGCAAAGGTCAGTCGGGCAGAGCGAGGTGAGTCGGGGCGCATGGGATGTGGCAGGATGCTATAAAATATTCAGGTCCTTCCGTAAGGCAACCGGACGGGGAAGACGCTCAAGCACCTGCCGCTCCCAGCACTGAACAGGATTAAAGAGAGCATCCAAAAGGAGATGAGACTTTGTTCTTGGTTCAAGTCATCGAAGGGCTTTAGCACAAAGATGAGACCCTTTGGGATCCAAGTATATAGGTTCATAATGGGTTTTGGGGGGTTAACCTCACAGTGTCCCTTTAAAAGACCAAAGGAGTCATGCAGTGATTGTGCAAAAGACCTTTGTGCCAACATAAATAGGAGCGGGGTAGGATAATCACAGCCCACTCGCCTTCTGGTCTAAAGGGGTCTGAACAGTACGGACCGGCACCGAGGTGAAAAGGGGTTTAGCACAGAACGCCAGCGGAAACTCTTCCTTTTTTAAAATATGGTATTTTTTAATCCTTACAAACACTAAACCAATATTTAACAGACTTTATTACACATCAGGCGGACACGGCTTTTTTCGTTCCATTCATAAAATTAATATTAGCTTAAATAATTCTGCTACGCAAAAGGTGCGAGTCTGTCGGGCAGCCCCAAGCATCTTTTTGCGTGACACCCAGCCTGTACAAGTATGCTACACTTCCTGCGTCCCGCTGGAGGCCTGTGCTCTGGACTGGCACAGATTGTAGAGAACACTTCAAACTGGTTTTTGCTTTTTTTTTGTTGTTGTTTTCTGTTTAAATGAGTAAATATTTTTTGGAAGAAGTATATACAGCCGGACACTGAAGAGTTGCATTAAGGTGCTTTCGTCTGCCATCACTCGTAGTCAGTGCATTAAATAGAAGGCCAATTAAACTCTCTGTGTTAAATCCCTCCGCTAAGGGAACCTGTAGCTTCGGATGGACCTGACCCAGCTCCCAGACGCGGCGCTGGAAGCTCTGTCAGACCCTCCGTTACACGGCGCTGCCCAGCGGGAAGGCAATGAATGCATTACCTGTTCAACCCACAATTGGGACAGCTTTTTGGGGGAGTTTTTTTTTTGGTCTCTTGCTTCCTCAGTTGACAAATTGGGTTTGTTTGGTTAAGTTCTGCACACGGAGAAGCCACAGAGCCGGGCCAGGTTTTTGTTCGGACTAATCCAAAAGTCAACCTTCAATATGAGGTATGTGGGAGAGGTTTTCTCTTTTGAGCGTGCTGAGCCGGCTGCCCTCAGGCTAACTGTGCCGGCGGCGCAGAGCTCTGCGCGGATAGCTATTTACACGGCGGCTGTGCTGAACTGACCCTTGCATTGAGGATGCTTGGCCGATGGCCAGCTTAGAGCACTTTTAAATCGGGTGGCTCGTCCTTCGCGGTCCAGCAGCCGATCGAGGAGCCGAGAGCAAGCTGCGTGGATCTTGGCGCCCGTCTCCCCCAAAACACAGGCTAAGAAATGCTAGGGCAGGAGGCGTGCTCAGGCAGCGGGATTTTATCCACCTCGGGCACGGGAGGCAGTGCCCTAAAGGTGCCCCCCTCAGCTCGTCATGCTGCCAGCCTCGCTGCCCCCATCCGTTTTCCTACAGCCACGGCCTGCCATTAACCTCGCCACCCCTGCGAAGCCATGGCTCCCCGCTGCCACCCTTGCCTTGTCCCGCTCCCCAGCTGGCACAGCCAAGAGCGAGTGAAAACCAGTTTGAAGTACCTTGTCATGCTCGTGCTTCCGTGGCCATCGGCCCCCCCCACCCCCCAAAAGTTTGCACCGCTCGGGTCACGGCGCACAGAGGCGTGTTCTCGTCCCGATGCAGACGGAGTCCCGCACGCAAATCCCTCGGCATCGAGACGATCATATACTCCGTACTCTGCAAAGAAACGGGGCGGTGGTGCTAGCCGCGCGCTACCGACCCGCGAGGGGTGCCTCATTCTAACACTTTGGCGTCAAGCTCTTGCTCCGTGTCTCTCTTGGGACTGCCACTTTTAAAAAATCCAAGCTGTAGGAATTAAAGGAGAGACAAGAGAAAAACCCCACCGTTACTTCAGTGGCTGGCGGTGACCCGGACGTGTGGCAGGGAGGGGGTTTGGGGAAACCCCCCCACCGAGTTGCAGCAGAAATGCGTTGGCCGGGAAGAACCTGTGGTCCTGGCTCCGCTGGGGCTTCCCTTTCCCCGACGCATCACAGCTGCTGAAATACCCAGCCGCAAAGCTGACGCCTCTGGCTCAGGTGAGGGCAGTGCCCAGAGCCTCAGGGGAATGGCCTGAATTATTTTCTGCACGTGGCTTTAATCCGTTAATAGCGGCGCTCAGGAAATGTGGATTTCCCTGACCGGAGCGCGCAGATTCCCAGTGCGATTAATCCCCCCTTGAGGCTTACAAAAATCCCCTTTGATTTCGACTCCTAGAAGTCCTGCTTTGCAATTCAGGGTGGTGACTGATGAGGCATCTCATGCCATCAGACGTGGCAATTAGCTGCTCGGGCCCAGAGGGTGAGTGCTCCCGGGCCTGGTGCGCTGCACAAAGCCCCAGGGCGGCTTGCTCAGAGACACGGCCCTGACCTTTGCACAGGGCTGCGTCTCCCTGGGGACTACGCCTGCCCCTGTCCACGTGCACTGAGGGTGGGCAGAGCCTCTGGAGCAGGATTTGTCTTGGTGATGGTGAAAGCTGGGTGCACAGGCTGCCTGAGCCAACCCAAAAACCTGCCCTGATGGAGATGGGTCCCTTTGGGAAAAGCATCTTATTCAACCCTGGCTTAGCGGTGCCGGGGGTGAAAGAGCAGCAGCAAAGACGTGTATGAGCACTGGGGGAAAAAACGCTGAACCAGCCACGCCACCGCGTGGGCTGGGACTTCGACTCTAGGGCACTGGGTCCCGGGGCCTCTGCCCACTCCTGCCAGGGGATCATGTGTGCTCAGATCCACACGCATGCAGGCCTGTATGCACGATGCTCGGTGCAGGCGTGCTCCTGTCTCAGTGCCTAGTTGTGCAAGTGGCTCTCTGCACCCACCACGTGTGGGACTGCCTGGTTTTTCCATGGGCAGGTCCAGCTGCCTCCGCGAGCAGCGCTCGGGTTTTGGTGATGCCTCTGCCTGCCCGTCTCCGAGTCTAAATCCCTTCACGGTACAGCTCCCAGCAGAGACCAGGACACCGCTCGCCCCCGCCCCAACCCTTTGCGCTACTTCTACCGTGCAAGCCAGTCATCGTTGCCTTTGCCAAGCTGTCAGACCCGCTGCCCGGCAGCCAGACCCTCCTGAAGCCACCGTGGTGGCAGGAGCGGTCTGCCCGCCTCTCCTGAGTGCCCTTCCCTGTCGGACCGGCCGCTCACCCTGCCCAGGGGGGAAGCCACGTGCCTCTGCTCAACACGCCAGCCGCTCGCACAGGAAGACGCTAAGCCAGCCGGTCCAGTCCCATGCCCCAGCTGCCAACCGGATCCTTGATGCCTCCCCAGCACGCAACCAGGGGCTGGGATGAGGGCGGTGCCGTGGGCTCGCGGCTGGGCTACCAGCCCATGGCACGTTCCAGTCCATCCATGCATGGAGGGAGGGTGCAGGCCTGGGGCCTTGGAGCTGAGCCTCTGCTGCAGGGGTCCCTGGCATGGGATGCTGCGGCAGGCCAAATGCCCTCTGCTCAGCAGGACTGCGGGGAAGGGCAGGGGCAAAATGCATGCACGAGCGCAACGGAGCAGCGCGAAAGCAGCAGCAGGAAGCGCCGGGTGCAGCCCGCTGGCCTGTGCTCGCCAGAGCCCGGGGCGGCCAGGCAGGCTGCACCGTGGCCGGCACTGCCCTTACCTTCCACAGCGCCAGGACGAGGAGAGCCAAGAGCAGGAGCCCGCCCAGGGTGCTGCCCACGATGATCCAGATGGGGATCTGCGAGTCCTCCGGCTTGGAGACCGTGAAGGTGATCTGCCAGGAACGAGTGGGGCATGAGCCTTCAGCCCCTGCTCCTCCCCACCCAGCTCCTCAGGGGGTCCCCGAAAGCAGGGACGTGCTGCAGCTATACGCCAGGCTTGTGACCACCTGCTTGTGCCAGCTCAGCCTGCTGCCACGGGGTGGAGGCATGGCCATGGGTGGCGGAGCCCCTTGCTGTGGGCACGGTCCTCAAGCTCCGTTCGGTGGCACCCGCCAACGGGGTTGCCCACATAGGGCAGGATGCTCTGAGCCGCCAGGCTCCCAGGCTGAGCGTGGTATCCATCTGGCTCTGAGCAGCACAGCCCTGCCAGGGGGAGGAAGGCACAGGCAGAGAGGTGCTATCGTGGCAACAGCCCCACTCCCTTGGCGTGGAACAGACCAGCTTCACACAGCAGCCACGGGAGGGCAGCAGTACCCCACGCCTGGGAGCGCAGCCCAGGCCTCCTGGAAGCTGGCGGCCTGTCAGTGTCTGGGGTGCGGACACGTCTGCACAGAGCTGGCACCATGCATCGTGGTCCTTTTGCCAGGCTGCAGACCTGGGGGAGGCTCCCCCCGTGGCCTGGCGTGAACCCACAAGCACGGCTGCGTTTAGGGCTCAGGCATGGGCTGTGCCTTGGGCTTCGAGGAGCTGCATGTCACATGGTGCCAGCCCTGGGGAACCCAGACAGGGCCAAAGGGCTGCGTGGACCTGGCGGGGAGGGAGCCGCCGAGCCCTCGGCACCCCAGATAGCGGGTGGGCCTGGTGCTGGGCGGTGCTAGCGAGGGGCTGGGCCTGCCACAGAGCGGGGCAGGAGCCCGCATGGCTCGTGCTGGGTGCCATGAGCCGGGCAGGGCCTGCAGCGCCACAGCGCTCGGGCGGGGGCCGGCTTGTGGGTCTGCTCTGCTCAGCCCTTGTCTGAGGGAGCACAGCTCAGCCTGGCACAGCTGGACAGAACTGCCCGGCCCTGAATGGCGTGTGCGTGCGTGTGCGTGTGTGTGCGCACATGTAGGGCTCCTGGCTGTGAGAGACTGTGTGTGTGCGCGCGCGCGTGTAGGCATCCTTGTTATGAAAGTGTGTGTATTTGTGTGTCCACATGCATGCAAGCGTTCATGGGGCAGGGTGTGCATGTGCGTGCGCAAGTGTTCTTTTCTCTGTGTATACATGTGTGTCTGTAGGCATCCCTGCTGTGAGACTCTGTGTGTGTGTGTGTGTGTGTGTGCATGCGTGCATGCAGGTGTCCTTGCTGTGAAAGTGTGTATGTGTGTGTGTGCAGGGCTCCTTGCTGTGAGAGGTGTGTGTGTGTATACAGGGCTCCTTGCTATGACATTGTATGTGTGTGCACACATGTGTGAAAGTCTTTGCTCTGTGTGTGTGCGCGTGCAGGTGTCCTTGCTTTGAAAGAGTGTGCATGGGTGTGCGGGGCTCCTTGCTTTGAGACTGTGTGTAGGTGGGTGTGTGGGTAGGTGGGTGTGCAGGTGCCCTTGCTGTGAAAGTGTGTGTGTGTGCATGCACGCGCATGCATGTGTGAAAGTCTTTGCTCTCTATGTATGTGTGTGTGTATGCATGTGTGTCCAGGTCTCCTTGCTGTGAGAGTGTACAGTGTGTGTGCACACACATGTGGATGAGATGCTCCCCTCCCCTCCCCTGCCGTGCACTGGGCTGTACCAATCTCGCGTATTAAAACCAGCCCCAGCTCAAACCTCTCGCAGGCTCTGTGGCTCCTTCCCCTCCTGCTCCCTGGTGTAGGACTCTGCATCCAGAGCACCGGGGCAGCCCGGTGCCCAAGAGCCCCCTTTTTCTAGCACCCATAAAATAGGAGTGTTGGGGGTATCCTCTACTGAACGAACAGTTTGAAAGTGATACAAATGGTTGGGCACCGAGAAAAACAATGCAAATAGACACAGAGGCTTCATCTTCAATCGTGAATGAAGAGGAAGCTCCATTCTCACAAGCAAGGAGGGAAAAAATAACTTGAAGGGTTTAATGGAAAAGAACTGTTAGTTCTCTTCTCACAGGTGAAGCAATTTGGAATAGGGACCCAATGGGCCTGAGGCATATTTGGAATGAGGAAATTGGGGCAGCAAGGAATATTGGGTATGGATAGCTTAAAAAACTGTGGATAACCATGGATTTAAGTAATAACATTTGCTTTGTGGATAACGATGTGGTGGGTAAGTTCCCCCACATGGTTGCAGCAAGGCATAGATAGATGCGCTGCTCGTGAAGCTAAAGAAAGCATAATGCAACCTGAATGGGAAAAAGGGGCGCTTGTACACGGTACGATGTCCAATAAGTTTGCCCAGGTGTGGGTCCAATACAAACTGGAATGTGGGAAAATTGAAGCCCAGGTGTGAACTGTTGGGCACCCCTGAATCAATACAAATACCCAGCTGAAGCTGGAGGCAGCCTACAGGAAACTGTCATTGCTTTGCTCAAATGGAGGGGTGGGGGGCTGGATGGCTGTGCCAGGGAGGTGACACAGGCTCGGCTGCCAGCCCTGAGGGGAGGATAGGGGCTTCCCCAGGCGGACCCTCGTTGCCACTGTGGAGCCTCCGTCTCCAGGGCCCCTGGTTTGGCCCTGTTAGGTAGGAGGGTCTCTCTCTCTCTCCCCCAAGCCGTGATATGCAGGTTGAAGGGCTGAGCTACGCGGACCCACACAGGCACTCTGGTCTGCTGGCACTGCCACAAGATGGACCTGAGCTCAGGCTGCCTCCTCCACCGCAAACCCACCTGGGCCTGCTCCCCTGCACCTTCCTCATGCAAACACGGGGCATCAGAGGTGAATGCCCTCAGCGGGCACCGTGTCTAGTGGCAGGGGGAGGCGCCCTCACTCACCTGGCGGCTGGGGTCCTCTTCCCTGAAGACGAAGGGGCTGCGGAAGCGGCGCTGCAGGGCGGCGTGCGTGGTGAGCTTCAGTGCCTTGAACTTCAGCTGCATGGAGAGAATGGCGGCACACATTGGCGCTGGTGGCCAGCCCACTAGTGTGGAAGCCCGTGGGCGCCCACGGTGTGGGGAGGACATGACTCGCCAGCTGCAGTGAAGGCCCTGGAGGGTGGGGCTGGTTGTGGGTCAGCAAAGGGACCCCTCTCTTGCTAGTTGGGGGTGCTTTGTGGTGGGTCAATACTCCTGTTGAGACTTCAAGCCTGGCTAGAGGGTCCTGCCACTTCACTCAGGGTCAGACCACTGCTATATTTGGGGTCAAGGAGAAATTTTACCCCATTGTCAGATTGATACGGACTATAAGTTTTTTTTGGGAAACAGCCTCTGCCTGGGATCTCTTGAGTGTATATTAACAACCTTTACAGCAGCAGGATGTTGGCTGCCCTGCTCCCACTGCTTTAGCTGTGGCAGGTTTGGGTGTGATGTCTCGTGTTGTCTTAGGGTTGATGGTAGTTTGACTAATGATGGATGTGTCTGGGATGGTTGGGATAGGGATGGTCTTGCCTCAAATAGGGGTTGGACTTGATGATCTAGGGAGGACCCTTCCAGCCCTACTTTGCTATGATCCCCAGTAGCCACTGAGGGGCCATCAGCTTGGAGCTGTGGGAGGCCGGGCTGGGTCCCACCTGGGAATGGGGCCCATAGCTCATGGCTGCTCCAAAGGCAAGGGGTTGGTTTGTGTGCAGTGCCGGGTGGCCAGCGGGATGCTAAGCTAGAGGTGGCTCTCACGCATGGTCCCCCACGCAGTCCCACAGGCCTCTTGGCCTGTCCAGTTTCAATGAGATCTGTTGACTTTAATGCCCCTGCTCTTGTCTTTAGGGGCCAAATTCAGACCCGGTGTGAGCAAAGGCATCTCTACAGGCTTCAGAAGCGTGGGCCATGCTCACACCAGCCATGAGACCAGTGGACATAACACTTCAAAGATGCAAGGGTGGTGTATCAGATAAGCAGTACGTTAGCCGCTTGAAGGTGTCCTGGGACATTTTTGGAGGAGTCTTACGGTGCACTAAACAAAGAAAAACATCATTGCAGACGGGGTTGTGCTCCATGGCGCAGGGAGGTGTTTGGGAGTAAGCAAAAAAACCCCACATTTACTATATAATTTCTCCTTGAGGGGCTCTCGTGGTTCACGGGCCACACAGCCCATGGACTAGCACTTACTGCTTTCAGTGACTTCATCCACAGGTAGCCACGTAAGTGAAAGCCGATGTCCTCATTGGGAGTGAGTTTCACATTGCAGTCGATGGACACGACGTCCGAGTTACTGTGGTTCTGAAAAACAAGGTATGTCGGCAGGCTATGAACGTGGGGCCGCTTTTTTGCTAGGTAGTGCACAATGCTATAAAACCCCCCCCCATTCCTCCCATCTTTATACTGGTAATAATGAAAGCCTGCATGGCCTCACTCCACCGCCTTATTTTACACTCCCTGGGAAGCATTTTTGGAGGGGTTAAAATTTAGCCCTATTCAGCACTAAGAGATGGGTCATAACCAAAAGCTCGGTTCAGTCTTGCATGCTGGCACCATGGCAGAGGGAGGGAGGTGGGAGCCGGGGCGGCGGGGATGTGGGCTAGAGCAGGGCTGTGCACGTCCTGGCGGTGAGGAAGACTGTGGAGGGAGCGCCGCTGCGCCACAGCCTCCATCTCTGGAGGGGTTGGGGTCGGGGGCTTTACAGCTCGACCTCGTCTCTAACCTAAAGCAAATGGTTTTGTGCTCTCTCTCTCTCACAGCATGGAGGCCTGGGCACGTGCACACAATAAGCGAAGAAGCCTGCACACGCACATGCACACCCATTCTCACAGCAAGAAGGCCTGTATACATGTGTGCATGCATGCGCGCACACACACACACACTCTCTCTCTCTGTCTCACAGTAAGGTGACTTGCATGCACACACACACGCTCGCAGCAAGGATGCCCACAGTGGGGTGCCATCACCCCCTCAACTCTCTGGTCCTGGGTGCGAATCGGAGGCAGGAGCGCTTCGGAGGCGGAGGCACACGGCGGTGCGCGCTGCGTACCAGCTGTGGGGTGCGGAGCAGGTCCTCCTCGGTGGGCGTGCTCCTGTAGTCGGTGTTGTTCCCCCAGACGTTGCACGTCGTATTTGCCTTCAGGGAGCAAAAACAACAGAGTTCAGAGCACCGTCATGGGAAAAACTCGGGCAGGACCTCTTGGGATCCTCATTCCAGACCCCAGTAAGCAATCCTGTCATGCCATCCCTTCCACAACCGCATCACGGTCCAGTTTAGACCCAGCTTCTTGTTTCCCTCGATATCCCAGAGCTCATGGCCAGAAACCTCTTCTACCTGTCCTGTCAGGTCTGTCCTTCATGGTACTTTTACTCTATACAGGGCTAAAGGCCAGGTCCGTAGCCGTAAGCATCACTGAGTGTTGGATTCTCAACCTAGAAACTCTCTTCTGGCCCGTTTCTCCTGAACTGGCTCGGGTGCGATGCTAAAGCCTGGAGAAGCATCCTCGCATGAAGTCCAGAGCTTTAGCAGCTCACCTCTGAATGCACCAGCAAATTAAGGGACTAATCTCTAACTGCAGCTCCTGTGTAGCCCCCCACAACGTATTCAGGGCTGTGGGTTGAGCATCACGGCCCAAGAGGCAGCAGATATTCATCAGGGGAGAACATCATTGCCCTGAAATCGAAACGGGCGCTTGTGCACGTTATCGGGTTTCTCTGCCTAAGGATATTCTCTAGGTGGATTTCCCTCTCGCAGTGTACCACGGCAATTGATGTTCCTGTTTTTTGTTGTTGGCCTCGAGGGTCTGAAACGGGGGTTATAACAGACGCTGTGTGTGGCCTTTGCGACCAGCAATTGGTTTTTTTAAATGAACGCACTTAGCATTGTTGACGGTTAGCAAGCGCTCCAGACTTATTGCCGGTAGCTCTTCCACGGCAGGAGACGGGTTTACCACCACGGATGGCTACTCTCCTGGGAGAGCGCAAGCTGTAAGTGCTGTTGAATTCAATTCGACCCGTCTGTCACGGATCGCAGGGTATTTTTCCTTGCTACCGAGCAAATTCCTCCCGAGGGGGCAGGAGAGGGGTCCGGAGACTGGACGTGGAAGATGAATTCGTGTGTTTTTGTCAGGAGCGCGTCCCTCACAGCCCCGCGTGCAGGAGCATTCTCGTTCCCGAGCCACAACAACAACACGTGTCCAGGCCAAAACAGCCGTGGACACGGGCCCTCTTACACAAGGCTGCATTATATTGGACGCTATGTGAAGAACGTGGCACCGTGGAGGGAATGTGATATCGAGATGGCTATCGGTCTCTCCCTGAACTCGCTCCCCGCTTGGGAGTCTCTGAGGCTCCAGCCGACACCCCAGGCAAAGCATAATTATTTCAAGAACTCATTAAATGTGGCCGGGAGGTTCGTTCTTAGAAATATTTGGCCGAAGTCGCTGGCTGCTACCATTTTCCACGTTTCCAGCCAAAGGAACGTGGCTGGAAGAGGGAAGGGGTCTCCGGGCATCTGTAAGAGCTGAACGGAGTCCAGATAGGTGAGAAGATGACTATTAAAGCTGGCGGGCGCTTTATGGATGGAAAGAAAGCGTCACCCGGAGTGCCATCGACCCACTGTTCGTGGCGCGTGACGTCCCAGTGCCCTGGGAAGGAGGACTGGCCTGTGGGCTCGGCGTCTGCTGCAAATCCTGCTTTAGGCCCTGAGCAGAAAGGGTCAAGCTCCGAGGACAGCGAGCCCAGCCTCGATCAGGGAAATATTATTTCAAGTGATTCAACGTGGCAGGGAAAGGAAGCAAACTGCTACCTGATCCACGACGAAATCGGTCAGCAGCAGCAGGCGATTCCCTCCTCTCGTGGCTACCGGGACTGTAATTTTAATGGTCACCTCATCGACGGGGAAGAAGCCCAGGTTCTGCAACTGGAAAATGGAAAGCATATTGTTGTAAGGCAACATTTAAGTGTTTGCGCTGGAGACAGAGCAGCGTTTCTTGCTGCCAGGTCCTTCTCTGCAATAAGTTGGGGGAGTTTGTTGTGAGATGGATCCCCCCCCCCCCCCCTTTTTTTCAGTAACCAACTGACTGG